AGGACTTTATGTAAAACTGAGACCTCCATCTGTTCTCTGCCTTATTTAATCAAAATACAGCTTTAAATCTGATGCCCACTGTATTTGGAGCAAGGCTTCCAGCTTGAAAAATCCTACCTCTTCAGTAAGTATCTTACTAACTGTGCTGTTCTGCAGGTTGTAGGTCTTTCATTTTCCTCTGCTGAAGTTGCTTCATTTTGCAAAAAAATAATTACCATTTCGCTGGAGCAGGAGTTGGGGACGTGTGTTGCTTTGGCTGCCACAGCAGGCAATAGAAACGCGTTTTTCTCCACTGTGATGGAGATTTCAGTATTTCTATGAAGTAAAATGACTTCAGCAGAAGAGGTGGAGAAAAATCTCCCTGCTTGCAGAGGGGCTTTGAATGCACATTTGCTCGCCGCAAAGGTGTTTCCAGAAGAGTTTGTAAAGGGCCTTGCATGCTTAAGACTTGAAAAAAACAAAATTTTCCCTTTCAGAAATGTCAAAATTATGAATTTAGCTAATTCCAGGTTTGGGGATTTTGTTTTTAGTTGTGAATGTATTCTTTTTTAAACATTTGGCTCAAGTATTACACTAGTCACAACTATGTTTGTGGCTAGCTTCCACCGCTCTGTACCTGCATCTTTTGTGATAAATGATCGCATCGAGATGGGGACAGCAGGCTTTGATGAGCTTTAAACTGGCCCTTTGGAATTACCAAACCTGGGAGAACCTTGAACTACGGCATTGAAACTGGAAGCTGGTTTCTGCCACCACAACCTCTACAAAGAAGCTGCTTACTGCATGCACAGCCCTCCCAACACAGAGTGGTGAAACCAAAGGACCAAAAAAACCCCAAACCGTGTCCTTTTGAATATAGTTTCTAAATCACAAGTGAGATGATCTGAGCAGAACAAGCGGCAGGTACGGGTATAACACCTATTCACTGGCAAAACTCCCTGGTGCAGGGAAATCAGCCAGAAGAGGACTGGGTCATCTGCAATTGTAATTTTGTTAAAGTCTAGTGGCAGAGGTATAAAGAACACCTCTTTCAGTGAGTGTCACTGAAGCAGCTCATTTTGTCATTTCTTCTGGGTCTAGACTAACCAGAGGGCGTGAAGCCGATGTGCCATAGCTGCCTGCGAGGACAAAGGCTGCCTTTCTGAGTCAGGATGAAGCGTGTTTGCCAGGGGAGGTTTGCCAGGGAAAGGCAGAACCTCAGCAGGACCTTAGAAATGCAGCCCTCAGAAAACCTTTGCGCCGTTATTGCTTCATCGAACTGCTAAAAATATTGAATGGAAAATGCAGCTATTAAGGAAATGAGGTAGATTTGGGCTTTCTGAACTGGATGACTTCCAGTTTCATCAGCTTCCCGGAATCGTTGCTGCAAAAATGAAGAGCTCCTTGTGAATCTCAGGAACCTGTCAGTTTTTCCTCTCATGTGGTCGTGCTGGTTCATGGGGTACGACACGCAGGGAGACCTGTCAGTGTTGAGCAGTGAGTACAGAGCTTACAGCTGCTGGGATTACTCGAGACAAATGTGCAAACATGAGACCAAACCACAGCTTTCCCCAAGAATTATCTTATGGGACCGCCTGAGAGAGCAGGCTAGGAGAGCTGCATGGCTGAGCCTGCCACTGTGCCGGCCCACAGGACCTGCTCCCAGGGCGCTGTGTGGGACCATCTTCTGTGGCCTTGCCAAGCCAAGAGCATTGAGAAGTTTTGTTTGGTCACAGAGAGTCCTCTTCTAAAATGATCCGCATGCAGGCAGAGCACCTGAGCGAGCGAGAGCAGACTAATGTCACGGGTTATGTGAAAATAGAAAATGCAAATGTTGGATTTCACATTGCTGGAAAGAAGTCACGAGAAGCCGGTATCCCAACTGCAGGAGACAACAGAAGCTCTTAATGGGTTTAACGTGCAATGTAGAGAAGCCAAAGGGCTGGAGATTTGCCTTATGTGGTTAAAACTACTTGCTCAGCAAGAGGCAGACAGTTTACATGTAATGGCAATTACGTATAGAGAGGCTCTCTGGGAGGAAGCAGCAAGCGCAGAGCACTCTTGCACCTACAGAAGCGCCTGCCATCGTGCTGATGAGCATTGTGCACTACACAGCTAGCAGAGATTTCAGGCTTTCTGTGGGGCAGAGGCTGAGAAGTGGCAGTGCCCAGTGATCTGGCCCTGCCTTGTAGCTGCATCTCGCCTCTGCTCCTCAGGCCCTCCATGAGGGACTGTAACCTGCTCACTCACTCAGTATACGTGACTGTGTTTCTGCAGGCTCAGATATAAGGAAGGTGTATTTTGAGGTGCTCCGAAAGCATGCCAGGACATGGCGGATGCTTTGGGGAGTGAGGGGAGGTTTGGAAAGGGGATCTCCAAGCAGGTTCACCAAAATTCCCGTTCCAGTCACTCCTTTAGGGGCACCCCTCAACAGTCAGGCCAGCCCAGGACCGAAAAGATGTCTGCTGCATTTCAAACCCAGCCAAGAATAAACTGCGTGTTTCAACCACATCGTTGCAGATTCTTGGGAACAAGGCCTGCCTTCATGCTTGGAGGGCTTCCCTGCTCTGCCAGGAACCACGGGGAAGAGCAACAGCAGCTTTGGCTGTCGACCGCCGTACTGTCATGGGCGAGCACGTTCAATACCTCTCACTGTGCTCGCCCAAAGCCTTTCCAAGATGAGCCTTTGCCCGTGTGGCTTAGCAGCCATTTTTGAGTCTCAGAAGGGGAAAAATCAGCATCTTCTGCTGAACATCTCACCCAGAGCAAAAGCTGTAGCATAAGACAGGCATGGGCACTGTCCTTGGCATCCAAATTTCGCTGACCACCGGATAGCTGGTGGGCCTGCTGGGAAGGGCAGCATCCTTACAGAGGGCTTTTTGCTGGCTTGTGTTGCCACACTGTGTTGAAGTTGAAGAGAGAGGATATGTGGTCTTGCGATTAAGACCTGAAGCTGGAATTCAGGAAGCTGTTGTCTTGGCTCTGCGGTACATGGGCAGATTTCTTAACCTCCACCCCTTGCTTTCCCATCCATTCAAAAGTGACTAATAGTACAGTTTATCTCTCTGGGACAGGACGTGGCTGTGATTGTCTAGCTCAATGCATCATTGATCTTTCCACTGCAACACTGAAGTTGAGGGAAAGCTTGTCTCAAGCTCCAGAGAGGCTTCCGGTGCTGATGCAAAACACAGCAATCGACCACCTGATTTTCCCTTTAAGATCATAGGTGGATGATGAACAGAATCAAGCTGAATTCAGATTTCAGCTCTCCCATAGTTTTTCTTATTGATATGGTTATACCACCACCTGTGTTACCACCTTCCCCTTCCTAGGGAAATAGATGTCCAACCAGAGGGCAAAATGGATCAAGTTCCAGCATGGATTTCATAAAGGTGCCCTGAGAGGGAAAGCTGTCTCAAGCTCCAGAGAGGCTTCCGGTGGTGGTGTGGGCTACAGAAATGCTGATGCAAAACACAGCAATCGACCACCTGATTTTCCCTTTAAGATCACAGGTGGATGATGAACAGAATCAAGCTGAATTCAGATTTCAGCTCTCCCATAGTTTTTCTTATTGATATGGTTATACCACCACCTGTGTTACCACCTTCCCCTTCCTAGGGAAATAGATGTCCAACCAGAGGGCAAAATGGATCAAGTTCCAGCATGGATTTCATAAAGGTGCCCTGAGACCCTCAGATGTATTTAGTGATTTGATCCTTATCTGGGCATCTGAATGACTTTGAAAGTGGCTTTGTCTAGGCCTATAAGGTGTCGTCCATCTCAGTAAAATGGCAATAGCAACACTTCCCTGCCTCAGAGCTGCTGTGAGGGCTCTGTGCAACTTCTGGGCCAGTACCTGGGACAGTTCAAAAAATGAGCTGTGACCTGCTTGTACTGCACAGAGCTCCCGTCATAGCTCCTTTCCTCCATCTGTGATGGTTCCTAGACCTTGTCTGGCAGCTGAAAAGCAGAGGTTCTGCGAGCTGGTGTGTATTTTTAGGAAAGCATTGCCTAAGCCTGCAGATGACTCTGTGCTTTCCACTCATGTTCCTGACAGCACTGCTGACTGCAGGCTCTTCCCTCAGGCAATCTCTGGGTCAGGCAAGCTGATAAGCTTTGTTAGGGCTCTGTCATTCTGGCAGCTCTGCTTTTGGTGAGGAGCTCCCAGGCTGTTAGAGGTGACGTATTGGAAAATGTCCCTTTCTGCAGCTTGTATGGTGTGGTGTTTGGCTGCAAGTCTCTTGCAACCGTGGCAAGGAGGTCCCCACCCCAATGAGCACTACAGGGAACATTCACTTCTTACATTAGCGCAGTGCTGCTGGAATCAGTACACCTGGGAGGACTTTAAGGCCTTGCCTTATGGTGGAGGCATCCCATAGTGGCTGAAGATTCCCCCTAGCCCACGTAGTGTGATGTTGGCAGGGAGTTTCTTTCCTTCTCAGCTTGGATAACATTGCAGCTGTGGTTTGTCAGTCAGGCTTACCCCAATACAGGGAGGTCTGGGATTTAACTCCCCTACCCTCAGGAGAAGAAGGGATCTGCTGCCCCTCTGAAGAGGCTTCACCAGCC